ATGAAATTAATATGAATATTTTAAATAATATTTATGTATAAATTTATATATATTTGTATATGTATATTTAATTATGAATTTGTATATAGTTATTTAAATATAGTTATTTAAATGTGTACTTTTTATAAATTTTGACAAACACATGCATACAATGGATTGTATAGTGATTGTACAAATTATGACCAAAAAAATATATGTATGTATGTAATAATTATTTTTATTTATTTGTAAATACAAAGGAGTATATTGCATAAACAGCACACACGCACAACCACACACGCACGCACACACGCACAGACAGTTTGTAAAAAAAATCATCTTTATTACAAATAAATTTTCATCCCAAAACATAAACACATAAACATATAGATACACACATACATATACATACCATTGATAATAAATTAACACACACATAAACACGCACAACACATTCTCAAACCCACACACACACACACAAACACACACACGTACAACACACAAAGACAGGCATACATATTTTTTGAGTTTTCCAGATCCATTTACAATGGAAAACCTTTTGACGTTGTGTTTGTTTCCCTGTTGTCATAGTGAAATTGTGTTCTAGATATAATATATATTTTATTTATTCATTTATTTAATTATTTAATTATTTATTTATCATAAAATCGTTAATAATAAATATACTAATTATAAAAATGATAGTAATAATAATAATATAACAATAATTATAATTATAATATTAATGAATTTTGTTTTTATATATTATTATTATGTCGTATTACACTATAGCATACATTATTTTTAGATATAGTTGTGTTATTATTACTGTTTTTTCCTTGTTATTATTATTATTGTTCAAATTATTATTATTATTGTTGTTATTATTGTTGTTATTATTGTTGCTGTCGTTACCGTCACGTTGTGTGAATAATGATAATAATAATAAAAAGTTTCATAAAAATAATGAGTAGCCTTCTTCGTTTTTTTTATCTTCTTAAATTCAAAAAATATTAAAATTATTATTTAATTTCTTAGAAAAATAGGAAGAACAACGATAGTAAAAATATAAATGAATGATTAATTAGCAATTAATTGGACACAATTCAAAATTAATTAATTAATTAATTGATTAATTGAACAACAAACCCTTCAGTAAAAAAATATATTAAAAAAAAATCCCGAAAATGCGAATAAAACATTTCCCAGCAAAATTAATGGCCCCAGTCAACGGTCAGAAATGGAGAGAGAGAAGAGGAAAAAAGAGAGGAAAAATAAATTACGAGAGAGAGAGAGAGAGAGAGAAAGAGAGAGAGGAAGTGAGAGTAAATGAAAGCGTGCTTGAAAAAAATTGTGGAAAAAAGAGAGAGAGATAAAGTAAAAAAATGAAAGGAATGGAAAGAACAAAAACCAAGAGAGGAACGGACAGACAGAAATATAAATAGAGGAAGATGAATATATAGCTTGAGGTAAAATGAAGAAAATAACATAGAGAGATAAAGAGAGAGAGAGAGAGAAAGAGAGAGAGAGAGTGAGAAAGATAAAAAAGAAAGCGTGATAGAAAGAAGGAAGAGAAAGGGAGAAACGAGATTGAGTGAGTGAAAAAGTAGAAAAAAACCAACTTATATTTGGCCGCAGTCGATACACATCCATCAAGCCGTGCAAAAAATTTCCCAAACGCTGCCCATGTTGTTGATGATGATGTTGTTGTTGTTGATGATGATGATGATGTTGTTGTTTTTGATCATGATAATGATGTTCTATTTGTTGTAGATGACGATGTTGTTTTCGATGTTCCTGTATACAAATGTACAAATTAAAAACAAACAAACCCAAGATTTAATATTGAAAAAAAACATATACACAAATCCAAAATACATCCACACATGCATGCACACACACACACACACAAACAAACACACAAACACACGTGCAGACAAACACACAAACATACAAACACAGAAACATACAAAATAAGTGTCGAAGATTAATATAACATGCACGGACATCTGCTGTGTGGCCCGCGAAACTGCCCATTCCATCAGAGAGATGAGCGTTAAAATAATCTTTTTTATGCAAACATATGTTTACCTCTTTGTTTGCTTGCTTGTTTGTATTTTCCATAATTGTATATATTTTTGTATGTATTTTATGCATGCAATTATAGACGTTTGTACGCATGTTAATTTTGTATATTTCTTGTGCTTAACCCTTGCGCATTTGAGTATTTAGTATTTCTGTGTATTTATGTATAAAACTTGTATATATTTTTGTCTATTTGTGTATAATTTTTGTATTTCATGTTTAGTAAATATATTTTTTGTTTATTTATTTGTATTTAAATGTTTTTATATAATTTGTGTTTTTTAATATTCTCTGTATAACTGTGCATACAAATTGTATGTATCTTAGAATAGGTTGGGTATTTTTTTTTAACTTTGTATGTTTATATGTATTCAATATGTATACAAACCTTGGTTCATATGTTTTCTGTATTTTTAGATATAATTTCAAGATTTTTTCAAGCACTGAGCTTTTACATTTTAGTAACATTGATACATTTTTATTCAGTTATCAACAAGTTACGCTTCTAAAACCAGAAAAATAATGAGTCGTCTCTATTTTAAAACGACGTTTCTTCATATGTGTCCGTATTTATCGCATAATGATAATAATAATATAATTAATAACAATAATAATATAAATAAATATAATAATAATAATAATAATAACAGTATTAAAATTAATAAAGATCTGATAGCTATAATTAAATTAGATTTAATTTAATTTAATATTGGAAATATGAAAGATAGAATCTAAAAAACCACATGACGAAAATATGCAATGCTAACCAACAAAAGGGTCAAATGTATTATGAAAATGTTGATAAAAGCTTTATGTTTGCCAGACTTAATTGAGAAAAATCATTACCTTCGCTATTTCTTTATGTTATTTTATATATTATTATTATTATTATTTCTATTGTTATTTTTATTATTATGAGTATGATTATTATTATTATTAAACACTTTTATTTATTCTTTTGAAGAAATAAATAATTAATTATTATTATTATTCTTTCTATTATTATTTCTATTATTATTATAATGAGTATGATTATTATTATTATTAAACACTTTGTTTATTCTTTTCAATAATAATCATAAAATTATTACGATTACAATGATATTTTGTGTCTATGGTTAGTTTCATTGCGTTTTCAGGGGTCGAAAATAGAAATAGAAATAGACGTCAACAAAGATATAAATCAACAACAACATATACATAAACAACAATATCAAAAAAGATATAAACAACAACAACAACAACAACAAAGATATAGACAACAACAACATATACATAAACAACAACAACAACAACAAAGACATAAACAACATCAAGAACACAGTTGTAATCACTAACAACATAAAAATCACCTTATACGACAACAACCAAACTTACAGAAACATCAACATAGAAAAAAAATTCGTTTGCGTGCGTGCAACTCAAAAAAAAAAACCTAGATCCCAAAACAATAAATTGAATTCATACATACATCCATACATACATACATAC